CTTCGTCTGGATCGAGTGGATCTAGATCATACCGCAGTCGCCTTCATCAGGTTAAATGCCTCACGTTAGAGAACGTTGGCTGTGCTTAGGGCCGCACCATGGACGTTGCTGATGCGAACTTGTAAGGAGTATGTGCACTCTGCGATCCTCGAGCAGAGTTTCGTTGGGAATCTGTGATCAGCACCGTCATAAATGTCCAGATTTACTCTGCTTTCGGTTTTTCAAAAGCAAACAAAACACGCTCCGGGCGTTCACCCCATAGTATAGCTGCGGGGTAAACGTACTTGAAATATCACCCTGCGAAGCTTTTGCCACCATACATACGCACTTTTATCACTGATACTTTCAAACATATCAGTACTGCTCGATCTAGACAAATTGTTACAAAGTGTGAGCAATGTATAACAGTGAGGTACAAAACACACCTGTGCATTCGAGCACACGTGCACATGTCGCGTACACGCGAATGCACACGCACACACACACACACACACACACACACACACACACACACACGCACACACACACACACACACACACACACACACACACACACACACACACACACACACACACACACACACACACACACACGTGCGCGCGCGCGCCCGTTTATGTAAGCACTGATATGTCGGACCGTGACCGGACACTAACTTGTCATGACCGGGCGAAAATCAGGAATGGAGGTGGTTGGAAAGGTGAGATGTGGTGATCCAATATATCGATGTGTTGAGTCGTCATGATTTTACTAATCGCCATAGTGTAATGGCAATTAGTAAAATCATGGTGGAAAATGCCGAGAAAAGTCACGTTAGTACCGACTGTGCAGGACCGACTCCCCACTGTGTGGCGAACAAAGACCGTGACAAGGGTCGGGGCAGGGGAAAGTATGATTGGAAACATGTCAATCAACTTACTAAAATGGAGCATCCCGCCTTTTTGTACTTCTCAATTATGGTTACATCAGACGCGCACGATTTGATCAGGAATGCCAGCTTTTTTCGAGACCTTTCTGAATAGCACAGCATTTCGATTTGAAGTAGGCGACCCTGCGGGACACATTTCATGCGACTCGATGCTTGGCACTATGAAAGTAATGCATTTCATTTGCCTTGCTTTTTCCAACGTATGTCTTCGGTACTGTTTGCAACACTCCAATGTATGAAAATGTTCGTGCAATAAATGCTACGTAGGCTTGAAACACTCCATACATAAAGCTAGGCAAACATGAAACTATTATTCCACGAGTTCAACGAAACGTTATGCTATGGCCTTGATTTCTCCCCGGTGACGTTAACCACACTGGTTCTTGTCGAGGCGCACTTTGTCTTTGGGAATGGGAATATCAGATGGTCCAAAGTGGCGCACTGGTTCCAAATTTAACAATTGCGCTTTTCGGTCCACAGGCCGATGTCCGCTGTGTCAATTTTTAACTCTTTTATTCGCACCAGTAGGGGTGCGCACGGTCGCTGTCACGACGACGGTGGCCGTGCCTTCAGGGAAGAGGTGTAATGCTGTTATAAACCGTCGACAGCGTAATTTGAACTTGAAAATAATCTAAACTGATTTCCCTATCATGTCTTGACGGCGCTGTAGTGGTACTGCCCAGTGTCATTATTAGACATTAAAATTATAGTCTTGAGGTTACGCTAAAATCTATGTATATATATTATATGTATATATATATATATATATATATATATATATATATATATATATATATATAGAATATGTTCCAAAGGTGGGACACTCCCTATAAAGGTAGACTGCAAGCCTTCGGTTGAGTTTTTGCCCTGGCGGGAATGGTTAAATGGCTTATGTACCGCCTTGAGCTCCCGCCTATCACCCAAGCTGGTTGGGAATGTATAGACCATGGCAAATGGCAAATACCTGTGCCATGTTAGTAGAAATCGGATGCAGATGATTTTGCCATAGTTCAGTATAATATTAATGATGAGTGTTGAATTGACCACATCCAGTTTTAACTGATCTATCCATCCATCTATCTCGGATATATATATACATATATATATATATATATATATATATATATATATATACATGCATGTATGTATGCCTTTGGCCAAAACTCCATTGTTGCATCACATTGAGCGATTCCTTAGGAATGTCTTTTGCTATCAGCCATGGCCTGACTTTGGTCTGCGATAGGCCAGCGACCTTACAAGGTACATCAATTTCTCTGCATATAAAGCTCCGCTATTTAATTTTCCACAGCTATGCAAAGTTAGACTCTCAGTGACTGAGCTAAAATGCGGCAGAGCCAAATACTTTTTGAAGTTCGTCACTTCTAAGGGCCTGGACAACGGCAGATACATAGAGTGAAGTCACCTCTAAATGAAGAAAAAGACAACTCCTAATGGCAAGCCACTGCTTCCGAAATGCCTTTTCAGGCCTCTAGGCTCAGCATGAAAGAATTGATAAATGGAGCCGAGATGGTGCCGATGCTCTACGAATCTCCGTCCAAAGGCACAAAGCATGGGTGATTCTGAAATAAAACTGAAATAGCTCGTCGCCGTCGTCATTGGGGCTTCACGATCCGCTCAGCTGCTGGGCCGCACGGCGCCGCTTGCTTCTCACCCTGGCAGGAAGAGCAGGCACCGCGGGAAATCGAACCTCGTGCCTTGGTTTCCCAGACGCGCAGTGGTTAACGCAGACGAGTTAACGATGACACTGTCGGCACCCAAAATGAACTAAATCGTGCCCAGACCACAGACGTTCGGTGTGCTGACGTGTGTAGGCGACCACCTTCCTTGCGTACGAGACGGCTAAAAACGGAATTTTGCCGCCTCCTTCCCTTTATCACATGTATGATGACAATTAGTTTCTTTTTAATGCCAGGTGTCACGCTGCTCAACGCATTTATTTCTTGAACAGTAAGCATCGAGGAGGAATCAGAGATGAAAGAGGAGATGAATCAGACGGCAAAATTCTCTTTTTGCACGTCTCCGTACAAAAACAAAATGGTTACCTACGCATTTTCTTTCCAAAAGGGGATTTTGCCGTCTGACTCCCTCTCTTTCGATTATCGCAGGTACGTTCACGATTGCGTGCTTGTTTTTTCAAGGATAGGTATCACGCAGCTTGCTGTTGCACGCCGCTACATATACACACACACACACACACACATATATATATATATATATATATATATATATATATATATATATCCATATTGCTGCCCATTTTGCCATCGCAGTCGCAATATAGGGCAATGTGATATGGTGTGCGCCAGTGCAAAGTCATTACGAGTGTACTTGCGTGATTAGGCCTCGCGTTTACGCACAATCAGAAACTAATGTGTATGAATCACGCCAAGGCCTGCTGGCATGACCATACAAAATTTGTGCTGTAATGGAAGGCGAAAGCCACCGAAACAGGCTGGAAAACCGGAGGCCAATGAAATCACATCTGCATGGCCGAGTGGCTCGCGAAACGTGTCATAGTGAGGACAGGACGGGGCGAAATATCCGCCCAAAGTGCGTGGTAGGAAACAGACAACCAAGGCACCAACGGATTCTGGGATTCTGCTTCTTTTCTTGGTTATCAGGCACATGTGTGGGAAAGCATACCTCAAATAAAACTGGTGGTGACCAGAGAGGACAATTTCTGAAAGTTCTATCAAATAACTACTTCCTATAGCCGATCATCCTGGTCACTGCTCGCGTCGCTGGATTCCCTCATTCGAATCGAGAGTAAGAAAGAAAATAATCGTGGTTAAACAATGTGCATCACGTTCTTCCGGGAACACAATTTTAGAGTGCATTTCAGACTGAAGCTGCTCAATGAGAATATGGCGGCAAAGGCGGCTGCTGTAAAACGGGGATCTAGCAGTTGTGCGAACTGTAAATGTTGTGATAATTAGTGCTCGCCTTCCCATCTCGGCTGATAAGTACGGCCTGAGGCATATATGACGGCGCACATGATGAGGGTCCTGTTTCATGCTTCAATAGACAGTGATTTCTAGTGTGCTCTGTTATCGATTTGTTCATGCTTCAGAATCAAGTTATTTTGAAAATGAACAGCATTGAATATGTGGAGGTGCATGCCAGTTCGCGACACGACAGAATAACATGGGCTTTCTAAACAAATTCAAGACCGTATTTCTTGTCCGGCCAATTTCCAGCCTGACTTTGGGGAATTTCTGGAGTTCCAAAAGTATGGAATCTAATCGGGACCTTAAGAAGTGAGGAGCCCAAATAACGCAGCACACCATAATGACGACGAACACACCCCATTTTGGCTTCGTCAAGTCTCATGCACGTTGTTCGTAGGTGGGACTACGCCCCCACAACGTAATCCATGCCGATGTCGTGACTTGGGCAAGGAAATACGCTGCGCGTACGGCATTCAATTGCGCTAGCAACACATTTCCACTGTGGCGTTTCTCACTCGTCCGCGCACATTGTAGGAACATCACGTGGTCAGTACCTCAGGCACCCATAGTCAAACTATGCATCGCGGCGAATGATTAGCCTTTCATTCGCTTGACATGAGCGTTTGGGTTTATCTGACGAGCGCTCGTTAACTCAACACCAAAGCAAAGGTAGCTGGAATGAAAAAGAGGCCTCGGCTACAAAGCAAATATTACACTGCAATGGCGGCATACAAAAAAGACAGGCTATTAAAATCGCATGACGGTACCCCAGCCACAACATGTAATCTAAGCACGCATGACGCCCGTCGTTCGCATCGAGCCGCACCACCTGGTGACGGAGACGCCGCGGATGCCGTGTGTCCGCCAGCCACTCTGCCTCTCCAGCCCGCGGCTTTCAGTGCTGGCGCCGCCGCTCCCCCGGGTCCGGCCCCACCCACGCGCTAAACGGCGACGCCGACGGCGCACCGACGCCGTCACGCGGTGCCGACGGCGCGCCGCCGCCGACGCGCGCGCTCCAGTCTTGCGAGCGAGGTGCGGCTGGAGGGAGTTGGAGCGGGCGCTCGAGCGACGCCGGGACGACGGCGCGGCGCGCGCCGCGGCCACGCGCTCGGCGGCGGTGGGTCGGCCACAGGTGAGGCTGTGGCCAGGGCACCCCCGACAAACGCCAGGCGGGCGAAACTGGGGCTGCGGCCGAGGATCGCTCAAAAGAGAGGGAATGTTTTTTTGGAAATATTGTACCGCGCGCGCCGACGGCATTCCAGATTCATGGGCGTCGCGGTAGACTCGGCAGGATCCGGCTGGTATCATCACTGCTACAGGCTCTCCATGTATTCAGTTCAAGTCAACAGTGCTCCGATACCGACTGCACACATTCGGAGGTGCTGATTCACCAAGCTGTGCGGGCACAGTTGTCCCAAACCTGACATCTTTATTGCGAGCGTATTTTTGGATGTGATCGAAATTAAGCGTCTGCGTAGCTCCCTCTGACTAAGCCAGTGAGTATCGACGAGCGTGACTGGGAGTGACGTGCCTCGTATCGTGTGACATCTGTGTGCGCGTTCGCGAACGCGTTGCCGCGTCCTGCCGCTGCTTATCGGCGTAAGCCATCAAAAACTGGGTGGCAGATGTTCCTTTACGATTTAATCTGCACTGCAACAAATATTGATGCCCCATATCCCCGCCATGACCAACGCCGCAATGCCTTCTTTACATGGCATTGGTACCGGCCCGAGTTAACGGTTCCGCTCATTTGGGGCACTGCTGTTGCTCAGGCACACCGACCCTGGTGTCAGTGAATACGCCTCGGATTGTACCTTGCGCTTCCGGAAACGTTATAGCAATCGATGGCGGCCGAATATGCCAACCAGAAGCAGCCTCGGCTCGTCTAGGAAGGGCAGTATACAGTGCTTAGCGCGTCTCTAGGGATCGGGCTGTTCGCGTTGGTGGGATAGAGCCACCATTTACACCCTCTGAAGGTGCGAGGCCACGGACCGGATCGGGAAGCTCAGGAGGGAGCTGTTTGTTAACTGGACGGGTCGTCTGACAGCACTGAGCACACACACACACACACACACACACACACACACACACACACACACACACACACACACACACACACACACACACACACACACACACACACACACACACACACACACACACACACACACACACACACACACACACACACACACACACACACACACACACACACACACACATACACACACACACACACACACACACACACACACACACACACACACAAAACGCAACGCGTACCAGCTACAATTGTATGTTGGGTTGCATCAAGCCGCAATATTCGGCATTGTGACCAGGATTGTCTCAGTTATGCAGCTTGCATGGAGTTGATAATATGTTGTTACGAAGATATGCAGAAACATATTACGGACCCAATTCAGACAATACTGGAACCCTGGGTTTTAGTTGTAAAACCGTTTGCAGAGCCTACGCTGCCGGGGTAAACCAAAGCTGACTGCTATCCAGGTACCTAAAACACATAGCGTAAAAGACAAAATAAATATGAAAGATGATATCCATGATATTTTTCGATACTGTTGAGTAGCTTCAATTGGATGCTATGCAAGACATGAAGAAAAATTAAAATACGTGCAGGCTACCCCCACCTCAGAACTGCAAAAAACCTCGAGCTTTTTAACGCCCCAGATGTGTAGGCATGTTACGTACTCAGAGGTGTATCCTCAGAAGTGTAGGCATATCACAGAGGTGTATGCATGTCACGTAATCAGAGGTGTATACTCAGAAGCGTAGGCCTGTCACAGAGGTATAGGCATGTCATGTGCGGTAGCATTTTCCGAGCGCACGTCCTATTAATGCCGTTATATAAATTTATCTGATACCGTCCTCGACAAAACTCGCACCAAGATGCGTGCCAAGGTCTCATTGTGGCGATAAATACGTGGAATACTTACCTGGAGCGTTATCTTAAAACACAGCGATCGGGAGAGAGCTACTTTCGTCTCTCGTCGCACTGCTTTTCTACCGTTGACGGATGAGCTCTGAAAGGTGGGATGATCTACACCCATGTTATGATGGATAATCTATTTTGTTGGAGCCCCCAGTAAATCCAACAACGCCGATAACAAAAATTCGGTGCGACGATAGTCGTTACTGGTCTTACGGTGAATGCAGTGAGCTAAGAACGAGAGCGATTTGGTAGGATAGTATTATGTTGCTGAAGGGATGTGAATTGACATATTAAATAATTTTTTTTTTTGCTGGTGGAGACCACGAGTAGCTCAAGATTGTTCGATTCAAGAGTTGCTACCAGTCCAGTTCTTCTGTTTGCTCCCTGACACGTTCCAAAATCGCAAGTTTGTTCAGGGTGGCAAGGATATAGCACAAAGCCTGCGTTATTTTGTGGAAGGGCAAAGAGTTTTTATTGTATTAATTTTAGTAATAATGCAATTCAGCAATATTGCCAAAACGAATAAAATGCGCAAAGCATTATAGATGCACCGAAGTGTTATAGATACTCGGCTACCTACGTGTGTCTATGATAAGTACGCTGGTAGGGAGAACCTAGATGAATCTGGCAATCAGGGTTCAAATGTAGCGCCACTTCTTCAGTGACCCATGCGCGCTGAAGTATGGGAACTCACTGATGTGCTTTGCACATGAACCGCGAATGCCATGTATTTTGCAGGCGTTATCAGGGATGTCGAGTTGTGTTTTTTTGTGAGAGCGCTGGCCCTCCAATGTATAATTGCTTCCCATGTTCGCCCGGGCTCTCCCAAGATTGGTGACTGTAATATTACAGGAACAAAAAAAGAGGTGAAAAGCCGACTGATCCAAACTCAATCTTCCTTGGACGTTAATTACAGGTAATTTCTACTATGCCGCTCAAGTGAAGGGTTTTTGATCGACTCTAAAAATCACAAAATGCAAAATATAAATGGCATGGCTGTCGTATATTGGTGGACGTCGAAACGAAGCGACTAGCCCCTAAGAGAAACACACATTTGGAGAGGTTAGGTCAATGGGTCCTCGATTGCCGCCCCTCCCCCTCCAAACTGAGGTGAGACACTCACTGCTTGAAAGGCTTCTGCGCGGATCAGGCTGCCGCGCAAATGCCCGCCCAGCACTCTTCAGATGCCTTAAGCAGGGCAGTGTGAGTGGGGGGTTAGATACCTCCAGTTCCCACGACTGGGAACATCCTCAGGACCCCAGGCATTGCATTGGCAAAGAGCGAGACACGACCTGCTTATTATTAAGTATCAGCCGATTATTGCAGCCAGTCATAATGTTTCAAACTGAGCAATTAACTGCAGCCAACCAGACTACTTATATTGAACTATGTAATGGAATGGAACTTGTTAAAGGGAAACAAGCAAATAGTCTGAGCTGTACCATATTTGTCGGTTTATGACTACAAAAATGAACACTGGCTGGCACCGATTTTTGTGAACAAAGGCATACTTAGTAACTCGGCTGGATCGGACCGGACAAAGCTGGAAAAAAATAGTGAAAAATTCAATTTTGGAGAGCCGGTCTGGATTAGACGGGATTAAAGTTTAAAAGCAACATATTACTTGTTAAGAGGGAAAGCCAACAATAACAACATATGCATCAACAACGACATCTAGCTTTAGGGGTTAAAACATGACAACACGAGGCATTATTTGCAACTACGCCTGACCACTATATTTCGCTACCAAGCCATCAACCACCTTCCTTCTTCTCCTTGTCGCGCTGAGGTTGAATTCCTAAGCGTAACAGAGTCAGCTTTTCATCATTTTTTATTTTTCATTTTTTGTTATATTTCAGGCAATATATGGACGAATCCTATACACTGTTGGCACATCAGTTGTACGGACCGCGTTTTGGGAGCATTAGTTTCATTTCTCGTAGAATTTGCAACACGCGCACTCAGTGAACTATGTTGGCTGGGCAGGAATGCGTCTAGACAGACCATGGACTATGCATGACTGAGCAGAAACTCGCCGTCGATGCCTTTGATGTTGGCTACTCCGCGGCGACTGTTTCTGATGCTCACTACAATACGGGGGATGTAACATGTCAACTCATCCAGTGAATAGCGATTTTTGCCCCCCACTTTCCCAATGCGCTGAAATGACACCAGCTTGTGTTCTTTCACTCTGAGAACACGAATGTGACTTTTCCCTTTGACCCTTTTCAATTTACTGTTGGCAGTTTCTAGTGACTTCATAATGTGATGTCACACCACAAACAGCTTTCTTGAGAGCGTCATATCCCCAGCACTGTCATGATATTTAAGATCCGATAATTCACCCACCGTGGCGGGTTGCGTTTGAGTCGCTTTAGGTGCTGGCTGTATGTCACTGACTGGGAAGGCCTGAAGCCGGTGACAGCAGCCACGCTAACGGCCAGGTGACCTCAGAAGGCAGGTGACCTCAGAAGGCAGGTGACCTCAGCACCGCACCGGGCATTGTGGCATGGTATGCTTTCGCACGCAAAATTCTGCCTGGGCTTCATGCTGTGGGTGTGGGGTGAGCTCAAGATCCACGTCCACTCGGACAACCCAGCAGACCTTCAAGAGCTGGAAGCCGCCTTCAGACTTGTGAGGGAAGGCATCACCGCCGACAAGACTGGCCGACAATCGACCACCTGTAGCATGTTCAGCTGTTGTGCAGCTTGGACTTCTGGGGCTCCCTCCGGTGCATCAGGCTTTGCCGGGTGTGAAATCGCTGATGACTACACCTGGCGCTGCTCGTGTTTTGCCATTGAACGGACGTTTGATACCACCACAGTAACGTTTGTTTTTGACAAATACCTTTCCCCCTGTTCAAAGAAATGCTGTTTAACTTTGTATCTTAACCACACTGTTTTTTTTTAATCCGCTGCGTCTTACGGTCAATTTTTCCAATTTTTCCTAATCCATCCAGTTTGGTTATCTCATGAAAATCTGTCATATTATTAGACTGGCATACCAACAAGGGAGTTGGCATTACTAAAATGTCAGATATTTGCAGGATAGTATTTGGCGGAAAATGGACTTACCTTAACACTTGTTAAGGTGGCCGGTTGAATACTACGCGTTTCGGCGAAGTTGGGGAACGGCGGAGTCGAAGATTGAGGACAGTTTGTGTAAACAGCAGGCAGTAAACA